CAGAAAAGTGCGGGAAACCAAGTTGGACAGACTGACAGACAGGCAGAGGGACAGCTAGATGACAGACGGACAGCTAGACATCTGGACAGACGGACAGACTCAGACAATACTAAGTCAGATACGTGCTGACATTCCTATTTTTTATTGACAAACATAGACAATTACTGACAATGTGCTGTCTTCACTGCAAAACTAAGACTGCCGGTACTGATAAACTTAGAAAAGTGCTGACAATCTTAGTAAGTGCTGATAAACTTATACAATACTGTCCCCGCTGAAAAACTTAGACAAGTGCTGATATTTACTGATAAGTACTGTCCCTATTATTCTCGCTCTCAGGGAGACTGCAGAGGTCTGAAATTGATTTTTTTTTAATTCTAAAGAGGCTTTATTTGATTTTTTTTTTTTTTTTTAAATATAACTGTGCCCCAATTATATTTTTAAAAAGTTCCTCTGAACATTTATAGAAGAATTATTCATTCAAAAATATTTCATAAGGATAACATACAATATAAAACTTCAAAACCTTTCAGCAGATACATGATTGTAAGCATTTTATAAATTTATTTTTTACTGGCGTTTATAAGCAAAATATGGCGTTCTACGGGGATCTTTTCCTCCTTGTTATAAAAATGATTATTATTTTATATTCCTTTAATTTACATGTACTCCCTTTTCTGTTTAATTATGCATGAAAAAATTGAACTGTCTGGTAAGATGTGTTATATGCATTTAATTTTAAATAATTATAATACTTTAGATCCGTAGAATGCTGTGGGGCCGGGGTACCCCCTTTTCTGATGTAGTTTTCATAGGGAAATTTTAACGTGTATTTGTTAAAATGCAGATGAAAAATCCGATGTAAATCAGCTTGCACAAAATCTAGATCACTAATTTTGATCGCTTAGTTTCGGACCATGGAGCAATTTATTTTTTTACTGCCTGACGCCCATGGGGTCAGGCAACAAGTGTTTAAGCAAGGTTCAATAACTTTGTTTCCTCCATGAATACTGTGTCATAGCATCTTCATGTATTAATACATCATTTATGATTTAAATTAAATTTTTCTTATCCTTGCAATTAACACATTTGAAAATAAAACAATGAACGAAAAATTATTGAAACACAACATAGAAAATAAATACTGCAAATATTTTCATCCTGCACGCGCTGAGATGTTTTTTCAAATCATAAAGCGTGATTTTTCCTACTTCCTTGAAGAGACGCTTGTTTGTACAATGATGAATAAATCTCGCACTTCACTTGAGACCTGTATGTTCCTTTCAGATAATTGCAATACATTTTATTTTGTTCAGCCAGATGATGTAATTAGGAAAGAAGTTTGATGATCAGATTCCGTATCCACTTTTCCCAAGGAAATTCATTCAACAATTTCCTTTACTTATTTGTTCTAAATTCAATTTTCTGCGATTAGGAACAAGATCAGCATGAGATTTATAATCGAATTCTATTTCAGTTATGTATTTTGCATTTATTTTTCTAATTGCTACTCATTCAAATAAAGCTGTTGGAAAATGTGATGGGTAAGAAGCACATTCAGTTTGAGTTGTTGAACTTATAGATTGTCCTTTGTTTCCCATATATTGAGGTAATAAAATCAAAATACATGTAACTCTCTCTCTCTCTCTCTCTCTCTCTCTCTCTCTCCAGTAGTATGTTATATATTTGCTTTGTTTAACAATTTTACAGCCTTTTAATCTAAATATAGAAAAGTAAGCATGCTTATATCAATAAATTGCATACTTTTTATATTCCCATCCTTAAAAGTGTTATAACCCTCATTCCCTAGAAGTCGGTTTAATACCAAAAGAAATCATTAAAAGGATTTAAGCACCTGATTCTAAAATTTCAATTAAAATTTCAAACACCTTTTAATATTCTTGTTAAGAAAAACAGCATAAATGAATTATTTTACAATCCTTTCTTTGAATGTTCGTATGTGTTAATCAGAAAAAGAATAATTGTAATGATTAATTCATTGATCTTGAGTATCAATATGAGTTGAAACCAGACTCTTTTATGGTAACATTTATTTAGTAGATCATGTATATATATATATGTTTTTTTTTATTTCAATAAAATCTCGTTGTTAACTACTGTGAAATATATCAAAGTCTCAATTTAGACTTTGACAACAGATTACTTTCAACATTGTAGCGAGGAAATTATTTTTTTTTTAATTTCAGAATGCTCTTCTGGATTTACGGGACCTAGTCGTTCATTACAATGCTGCTATCCTAGTTATCAACGATTTTGTCAGCAATTGTGTGATTGTACAGAAATATACTGCAATAAAATTATAGGCTGTCTACACACTGAAAATGGAGGTGAATATTATTTCGTAGCAGCAGTTTTTCATCCAACCAAATTGCCTTTTCTTTCTTGATTTTGAATGTAACTGTTTCTCTTTAAAAAAATCAAATTATACTTAATAATTTTATGCAGGTCAAACCAAACTGATTTCAAAAGCGCTGGTGGTAACGCTCTTACTCATTCTTGCCGCAATTTCTGCTATGCTATCATTGAGGAAAGTCTGCTTTCCAAGACTGCAAAAGAAGAAAGACGCTCGTAACACGTGAGAAATTCGTGCAAAAATTGGTACACATTCTTATATCGATATACTAGAAAACAAATGTGACGAAAGCAGAAATGCGAGTGGCAATAGCTTTTTTTTAATATGGATTATGATTATATAGAGACGGAGAATGTAGAATCATAAGATATGTATATGCACGGCCTTGGAAAAGAACTGCTTAATTAAAGATATCTCAGATCTTCAAGTGTTAAACCCATCAGTTTTTAATTATTCAATTCTTATTAAAGTGAATATATTATCATTTAAGAATGAGTCTTATTGATGAAAAATGCTGTTACAAATACTGTTTTTTGGACTTGCTGCCTAATGGTATACATTGCGAACATGCTGACTGAACACATTTACATTCCTTTTGTTCTTCTAATCTTGCAGATAACCAGAGGAACATGTATAAGGTTTTTGCCTTCAAGCTATTAATTTGATTCAGAATTCTAAGAACTAGTTGAATTAAGTATTATTCTGACTGTCCGTTTATTTATTTGACTGTAAATGTAAAGAGTCAAGGTATATGCAAAATCAAAATTTAAAAAAAAGCAAAAACAAAAACAAAAAACAAAAACAAAAAACAAAAACAAAACAAAACAAAACAAAAAACAAAAAAAAAAAAAAAACAAAAAACAAAAAACTTAAGCATAGATGTAATCATATGATTTTTTTTTTCAAAAGCTAACATTTCAAAAATGCAGCACACACGAAAGGCATTTATTTAATCAATGTCATGATTGTTTCATATATGCAAAGAAAAAATATATTAAAAAAAAAATATTTTTCAGTAATAAGAAAGCAAATGCTGTCAAGGATTGTATGATTTTACCTGAGGAAATGTAAACAAGGTGTTTTTGCATTCAGCGCAAATTAGATTATAATATTTGCGTTGAATAGTTAGCTAAAACTTTCAAAGTACATCTCTCTCTGCATTTGTAATCTACCTTATCAAGGAAATCATGATATCAGATATGAAATAAAAAAAAATGCATGATAAAATCGGAATCTGTATAATGTAGAGGGAAGAAATAAATGTTTGTGATACTGAAATACGTTAAGAAAATGATCAGTGACCGATCGCAATGAAGCCTACAAAAATAGAAATCTATGATCAGGGCATAAACAGTCTCCGAATAAGGGATTAAGAGCCTTGGAGGAGTAAGAAGTGACAATAGACACAAGGTGTTTCTTACAGGTGGACGGAGGATGCACAGTCCTCTCTGGCACCTATACCCACTTTTATTTTCATAAGTCCGTGTTTGCTCTGCCAAAAATATACATTGTTTGTCTCAACTTCTATAAAAAAATCTACTGTTATTAATCTTCACATTTCATTGACAAGAGAATAGTTTTGCTTATTAAAAGAGGGGATTGGACGGGCGCTGTTGATCATAATGCAATGCATGCATTACTTATTTTAAAATCGTTTTCTCTATTCCTGATTATTAGGTAGACAAATCAAATGCTTGATTTTGATGAGCAAGATTGACGAGTCTCTTATAAAAAATGGCAATTTCCCTTTTTTTGTCATAGTACAATATATATGCCCTATACACATATCACGAATATATACCGGGTATGTATGTATGAATAAATTGACATTTCAAAAAAAATTTCTCAATTTTCCAATTTAAAATACAACACAATTTTACTTTTCATTTAATCAAAATATTTTCATGACCAGTAAAATGTTCTAATCTTAACTGAAAAGGGAGATAATCCATATTTACAAAAACAGTATCATATCCCATTTTTGAGGGGTTTTTTTCAGCCTATAAATTTTTTGTAAGTCCAACAGCCAAATCAAAAGGTCACGCTTGTTTCATACACACCATACCCTATGGGTATGATACATAGGGTATTATACAAGAATTGAAATTGCATTTATTTTTATTTTTTTTTTTTGGGGGGGGGGTTAATATATTGATCCAACAACCATCGAGGGACAATATTTACTTCCTTCTTTAGGATCAGTAAATGCATACACCTAGGCAAGCCAAACCATTGTAATGACCTCAAAAACAGAAATAATTGTATAACATACAACTTGACTTTTATTTTAATGATAATATGAAAATCATTTAAGTTTCCCTCTTGGTTACACCTTTCAATATACACCACAAGAATTTTGACTGAATTTTACCTGCATGCAATTACATGTATTAATTAAATGAAAGATGTCTTTTACACATCATTACCAAGTCATCTGCTTGTTTTCCATTCAATTTTATCAGTTTACCCTACATCAAAAATATTAATTACTGGTACATGTATCAAAATCATGAATTGATGGATGTAAACAAAATTTTAATGGTTTACATCTTTGTAAGATACAATAATGCTGAACAAAATATCACTAATCACCGATGGTTCTCTTTTGTAGTAACTGGCTGTCCTTTGTTTATTTATGAGTCTCTTCTAGTGAAATATAAAACTGTAACCTAAAGGTGCTGAAGATCCATGGGAGATGAGAGTCCATGCCTGATTATCTTTATCCAAGTACCAGCATTGAATCCATTCTTTGAACTCTAATCTTTGTTATTCCTAAAATAATAGTTACATATAATTATCATTTACCACATTAAAACTCTTTGTTCTACATTGATTTAAAGGTATTAAGGAGGGTGGGGGGTCAACAAATTAACCATCAGATATAACTTATTTTTTTAGATATGATATCTTAAGCTGTCAACTATCATTTGGCAAAGAAAAAATTCATACATTTTAGTTTTAAAATTTGATCATTTTTGTATATCTTGATATGGAGCTCTTCTTCTAAAGGAGATCAATATAGTCTAAAAATGTCGACGACCACCCAGCCCTCTTAAAGGGTTTTTTTGAATTTATAAATTACTTGACATGGAATCTCAAGTTTATGTAATGCAGTAATTTCATGTAAAATCTCAAATGGTTGCATGTGCATGGCATGTGGTCCCCCACCTTTGGAGTCATTAGTTGATGGTGTGCAATGATGTTTTTCTTGCTGTCTCAAAAATACTGTCAGCTTTTCCTTCATAACCATGATGCAAACCATCTTGCGCATTCTGTGAAAATGATATAGGGTTTCATTTCAAAAGTATATAATTCAAATTACTAAATATGTAAAATATCTTTACCATATTTTCTATCATTTATGTCAGTTATGAATTCTGTAATCTTGCTACTGATTAAAAACTACAAAATCAAATACCCGGTACTCTCACAGTATATGTTATAAAACACCTTTGGGTCTTCCCTTTTCATTCTATCTCTTCAGTCAAACAAGTTCTTGATCATTCTGAAAAACAACAAGCAATATTTTTCATCTAGATTTATATGCAATATGACATACATAGAGAGAGAGAGAGAGAAAGAGAGAGAGAGAGAGAGAGAGAATAGGTATAAAGACAACTAAATATACCTATTTAAAAACCTTAAATTAAATTTACCTGGTGATTACAAAGCACAGTACACTGTTTTCCAAAATACACTAGCTTGATTTAAAATGTTGTTGGGCCAGTAAAATGTAAGTCAGCAATATCTTGACAAGTCTAATAGAATTTTCAGTGATATATCTTTTACAAATTATACCATCAGTAATGTTAAAAAATGTGCATAAACAGCCTTGTCTGAAAAATTATATATTTATTAAATAAATCAAACTTTTTGGTGGTTTTTTATACTTTGCTTGATTTTTTTTTTTTCTGTCCATACTTGATTTTGTTATTAGTCCCCTACCGGTGAAACCGGAGGGGACTATAGGTTTCCTCTGAGTCTGTCCGTCCGTCTGTCTGTCTGTCCCTCTGTCTGTCTGTCAGTCTGTCCCACTTGGTTTTCCGCACTTTTTCCCTAAACGCTTGCAGATATTGAGCTGATTTTTGGTATGTGAGTGTATCTTGATGAGTTACAGATCAAGTTTGCATTTCGTTCCGCTTCATTGATTTTTGACGGAATTATGGCCTTTTCAATTTTTACGGGTTTTCCGCAATTTTCTTCTAAACGCTTGTAGATATTGAGCTGATTTTTGGTATGTGTCTTTACCTTGATTAGTTATAGATCAAGTTTGCATTTCGTCCCGCTTCATTAATTTTTGACGGAATTATGACATTTTCAATTCTTAACGGGATCCAGATTACACTTGCCGGTAGGGGACTAGTATTGCTAATGCAATACTCTCAGAATGCTTGTTTAGTTATCATTTCTGACTAGTGCCATGTTGACATGGGTAGAGCAAACAAGAGGCCAATTGGCCACAATGCTCACCTGAGTCAATATCTTCATCAGCAGATTTTTCTAATATATATTCGTATGTAAAACTTTGATCCCCATTGTGGTCCTACCCTACCCCAGGGGTTCATGATTTCAACAGATTTGAATCTACACTACTTGAGGATTCTTCAATATATATGTATCTGTATGACTAATCATGGCTTTGCTGTTCTTAAAAAGAAGAATTATCACTACCTAGTGTGAAACTTTGATCCCCCATTGTGGCCCCATACTACCAGTATGTCTAGTTCTTGAGAAGAAGATTTCTAAAGATTGTTACCTAGTATCTACATTTTTTTAAAGTAAAATTTTGACCACCCATTAAAGCCCCATGCTACCGCCACTTTTCACAAAAGTTTCAACCCTTTTGGCCCAGTTTTTCATGAGAAAAGATTGATAAAGGTTTATATATATATATATATATCTGTATGTAAAACTTTGATTGCTTATTGCGGCCAATCCATATCCCTTGGGATCATGATCCGAACAAACTTCCCACTTCATTATGTAATAAAGCTTTCACATAAGTTTCATCTTTTCTGTTCCAGTGGTTCTTGAGAGGAAGATTTTTGAAAGATTCATTAAATTTTAACTAATTTTTAATTATCTCCCCTTGAAAGAGGGCAAGGCTCTTCATTTCAACAACATTGAATCTCCTTCATCCAAGGATGCTTTGTGGCAAATATGGTTGAAAATTGCCGTGCAGTTCTGGAAGAAGATGAAAATGTGAAAAGTTTTTAAACAAAGATGACACTGACACCTGGAACGACAACAGACAATGGAAAAAGTGTGATCAGAAAAGCTTACTTGAGCCTTTGGCTCTGGTGAGCTAAAAAATCAAAACCTATAACATAAAGCATTTACTTCTTTTAATTAGCAAAATTTACATGTTCATTTTCAATTTGAATTACCATAAACCTGGAGCCTAAAATAAAATTTAATTTGTTTGCAGTTGCCTACCCACCCACTAAAAATGCACCCGACCCAAACTTTTTTTTCAGCCATTTTGTATTATTATTAGTCCCCTACCGGCGAAAACGGAGGGGACTATAGGTTTCCTCTGAGTCTGTCCATCCATCTGTCTGTCTGTCTGTCCCTCTGTCTGTCTGTCAGTCTGTCCCACTTGGTTTTCCGCACTTATTTCCTAAACGCTTGCAGATATTGAGCTGATTTTTGGTATGTGAGTGTATCTTGATGAGTTACAGACCAAGTTTGCATTTCGTTCCGCTTCATTGATTTTTGACGGAATAACGGCCTTTTCAATTTTTAGGGGTTTTCCGCAATTTTCTTCTAAACGCTTTCAGATATTGAGCTGATTTTTGGTATGTGTCTTTACCTTGATTAGTTATAGATCAAGTTTGCATTTCGTCCCGCTTCATTGATTTCTGATGGAATTATGGCATTTTCAATTCTTAACGGGAACCAGATTACACTTGCCGGTAGGGGACTAGTATTGCTAATGCAATACTTTCAGAATGCTTGTTTTTTTTTTAAGTTTCAGTTTTTCAGGATATTGAAAATGTTCCATTTTTTATTTTTGTTTTTATCAAGTGAAGCTTATTTATGTTTAGTAAGCCTTGAAGTATGAATATCTCTATAATTTGTTATCTAATAAAAGTCTGAAAAATCTGATATCTAATAAAAGTCTGAAGGTCCCGGCCTTCCCACTGAATCCCTTAAATTTGGCCACGTTCAATAATGGTTGTTGTGTGGGACATGTATTGATTAACGATGAGAGCACAGACAATGTTTCATACTTATATGATGATACAACGTTCTATTGTTAAGATGATACTCTCCTACAGACCCAGTTTAATGATAGAATGTGTATTAGCAATGTTATGTAGCAAAACAAACCGGGCAATAAGTATTATTTAGAAAATGAGACGGGTTCTGTATCGTAGATACAAATTTGGGGGTGGACGAGTGCATAGCACTAGTCTCCACCCCCAAATTTGTATCTACGATACAGAACCTGTCAAGTTCTCTAAATGATTTGTGACATGATCAATCAAGAAAAAGCACCGCCCACTTTATAGCTGTGCAGCGTCCAAACTTCTGCCAGAGTATGTTTGGTCTCTCTGTAGATAAGGCCTTGATGGGGAGTATGCCTCCGCAGTAGATATATATTTCCATGGACAACATTAGATTTAGTCAGATTAGTTTTGACAATGGGGTAGACGTAGTCTTAATTGATAAGGTGGACAATTTAACCTTGCTGTAGATGGAGACTGATCCTAATTTTTTTCAGGGGTCTTAAAATCTCAGTTTAACTAGATACACATGCAGGCGAATGAGGCGATACAGACAGTTCTTCAATGAACTTTGATGTCACGGATTTTTATTTTCTTATTTAAATGTGACATTAAAAATGAAGAGAAATAGATATGTGGCAGTCGTCAGCGATAAGAATTTAAGATGAAATTAAAAAAAAAAATGCTAAAAATGGACTTGAATGAGTTTGTGTGAGAAGAGTAGAAAATGGGGGGGGGGGGGGGGTGACCGTGCGAAGTTCACATAATGTATGCTGCACCTGTGAACCCATTGGCTTAACTATTTTGAAGGGGACCCCCAAAAAGCAGGGAAAGCAAACAGGTTTTCAGAAATTTATTAAACATAGGATGCTTTCCATAACTGCGAATTTTCCTTTTTGTTTGGATCGAAATAACATGTAGATTCTGTGTGGAATATTTTTTTTTAAAAATTGAGAAATTTTGATATTTTACATTGCTAGGGATATATTTCTCCAAATTTTATAATAAGAAAAAACTCAGCATTTACTATTTGTACTTGCTTTTGATAAATTGAATCATATTTATTTTTAGACCGTGCTGTATTTTAGATACAGAACAGTTGGCTAATACAAGACAGTATACAGGGTTAATACAGAATGGAAATCAGCTCTGCCGACTGTAGTCCTGTTCTGTATTGCTAATACAGAATGGCAAACTTCAAAGAAAAACACTGCAATCGTGTCATAACTCTAACTCTGGTCAGTGCATTTACTCTGAACAATTCGGAGATTTCTGACTGTCAACATGGCATGTAAATTTGAATCGTGTAAAAAAACATTGACAAAAAGTGTTGAACTCTTACATTTATATATGGATTAATTTTTGGGGGTGAAAGGTATCCCTGTGACAAAAAAAGGTTAACTTTGTTACACATGTATTATTAACTTGACGGTTATTTTTCAGTGCAATTTCATTTATTTTCTCCGAAATCATTTCAGAGTGTTTCCACCATTTTCTGCTACATTGCGGGAATATGGAAGGCATTCTAACTGTGGTCAGGGCCATATGGACTCAAAACAATCTTAGCGAAATTGGGTATATAGTATACCCGATTTTGCTAAGATTGCCTCAAGTCCCTGTGGTCAGGGCCTGTCCCAAGACACAGTCACATTATTCTAATTATATATGTGTAAGATGTCATTTTTTTTTCAAAATGGACATGATATTGATACATGTAGGAACTGGCCATCCCCAATAATTTTCCCAATAAATGCTTTACTGTATAAAATATAATCAATAACCATATATAAGAAGTGAATTTAAATTAAATCCTACCTATTAAGCTGTTCAAACAGCTGTCCAAATGTACCGGTGGCGCCGGTACATTATCTTCCCTCTCCAAGTTGAGTAAGCTGACACAATCGGACTGCAACTCCTCTCTGAGGGCTTACTCTTGGATTCTGGTGGATTACCTTAGAAGCTAAACTTCCGACATAGACCATACTGATGTCAGTAGTAAGGAAAATTGCCGATACCCTGATCAACACGATGACAGTAATATTCCCAAACTACACTTTCTCGTTTCACGGATTTTTTTCCCTCTTAATTTACACGAATTCTATGTCCAATCTGTTCTTGTAAATTCCTTTCAATCACTTTTACTCAATTCACACGGATACTTGCAACGAACACCACATGATGCATCAAAATAACTTTGCAGAGTACAGCTTTCCATGG